GTGGCATCAGCCTAGCTCACAGTAACCTCAAACTCCTGGGCTCAAGCAATCCTGCTGCCTCAGCCTCCCAAGTAGCTGGGACTATAGGCATGTGCCACCATGCCCAGATAATTTTTTCTTTATTAGTTGGCCAATTAATTTCTTTCTATTTATAGTAGAGACAGGGGTCTCACTTTTGCTCAGGCTGGTTTCTAACTCCTGACCTGGAGCAATCCGCCCACCTTGGCCTCCCAGAGTGCTAGGATTACAGGCGTGAGCCACTGCGCTCGGCTCTCCATACAAATTTATTTAATGTATATGCATCTAATACATTCAGAATGAAGACCCAAAAATACAGGGGAAATTTTCCATTTTATGCTTAGGTTTGTCAACGAAAGAGAAGCCACACTTTGTAAAATAATTTAAAGAGGTTTATTCTGAGCCAAGCATGAGAACCATTGCCCAGAGCCATGCCCAAGAAGCCTTGAGCAAGTGGACTCACTGTGGTTACAGCTATAGTTTGGTTGTAGTTAGGTTACAGTTTCATTCAAGGAGACAGAAATTACACCTAAGTCATAAATCAATACATGGAAAGTATACATTGGTTTGGCCCAAAAAGGTGGGACATCTCAAAGCAGGGGTTTACAGGTTTAAATAGGTGGGTTTAAAGAATGTTTTATTTATAACTGATTAAAGAAATGAAGCTTTGTCAAAAAGCTTGGAATGTTTTACTTTAAGATAAGGGAGTCTGTTAATCAGGGAAAAGTCACCAGACATATACCCAGACTCAAGTGATCTGTTAAGTAATTTGAGGACCTGAAGGTTTGTCTTGCATAACCACAGGCCTGTTAATGAGTTACAAAGGATGCCTTCAAGGAGGGAAGGGAGCATAATGAGGCGTGTCTGACCTCCCTTCTCATGGCCAGCAACTCAGCTTTAGGGTATTGCTCAGGTTCCCCTTGGCCAAGAGGATGTTCATTCAGTCAGTTGGTGGGGCAGGGGAAGGGGCTTAAGATTTTTTTTTTTTTTTTTAGTTTACCAGTTCAATGAAGTATAGACAGCTGTGTAGAAATATGATTGAAGAAAAAGCATATGATCTAATGCTAATAGACTGAGTGGGGAAACCCAGTAAGGCCTATCTATCTACATTCTTCTTGGCCTCTCTGAGCATGTATACCTTCCTTCTGGGTTTCATGCAGGGGCCCCTGTGGAATGGAGATCTTATGACCTCCAGTCAAACAAGGTAGGTTAGATAATTTCTTACGGCCAGTTTTTACACAGAATTTCATTCCTAGCTTTCAGAAAAAGGGATTCTGCCTTTTAGTTCTTGGCTTGGGGAAGAGAGATTCTGGTTTCTATAGCTAGCCTTAGGGAAGAATGGGACTGAGAGTCAGGAGGACAGGAGGTAATCAGAGAAAAACTTTTGCTTCTGAGGTCTTCATTTTGGGGTGCTGTTTCCTGAGCCCTATCAAGAGAAAAATTCTTCAGAATTTTAAATATACCTCCTTGAACATATACCTCCTTAGAGTCCCCTAATCTGTTGACTCCCCTCAAGTTAATGCTTTACTGTTTTAATGTTTGACAATTAACATCAGTAATGAAGGATCTCAGGAAATTTCACCTTAAAATATGACTTTTTTGGTATAAAGTGTATTTTAAATAAAGGCCCTTTGAGATCAACAGGAATTGGAAGAGGCATTCTATCTGTATAAAACCAGATGAGACCTATCAAAGTAACAATGGACTTCCCTTTCCTTCCTTGTTACCTCAAATATATTACAGGAAAGATCAAGTATGCAACCAGACTTGGCCCTAATCATTTTAAGTATAATACCTGTCTCTCAGGTTAATTTAATTTGCAAAGAGAGTCATTTACAAGTCAATCTGTTTCCACCCATCCATTCATCCTCCTAATAACCATTTATTGCCCCTAAACAGAAGTACCTATATTCTTCATCTCCCTCTCCCATTTAAAATGATGGTATATAAACTTCTGGACCTCATTGGGATATTGGGTAATCACTCCTGGATTCTCCCAGTGCCCACAGTAAATAAACCTCTTTCTTTTGTAAATCTTCCTTAATTGTGAGTTGATGTTTCAGTTAACCTTCCAGAGTAAAGGGGTAGTTTCCCCTCACATCCACAGTAAGCCATATACTTAAGCTGGAATCTACTTTCATCAATAATGTAAATAATTACTGGGGCAACATTTTCACCAATCCCTCTATTAGCTTTCAAGAAAGAATAATTTATTTTACAAATATTTCTTCCCTATATCCCTGTTCTCTCACAAATGTTTAAGTGTTCTTATTTTCTTTAAAATGATAAAAATGAATAAATTAAATGTTAATCTCAGCTTCTGTGAGCCACCATTTAATAATAAGTAAGATAAAATCTGCAACAGGGAGGGCTAAGAAATACTCAAATCTTACAACCTCCTGATAATTTAATTTCAAATTTAAATGAGAAATATTAGATATTTTTATTTTTAACATTGTAGAAGTTATTGTTTAATGTTTATACACTACTTCCATTTTTCATTTTCCTCCATATTTTGATCCCTTTGAAATCAGGTATTATAGTGTTTTTCTATCAGTTTAGCAGACAAAAGGAATAGTTAAATATTATTACCAAAAAACCTTAATTATACTCTTAAATATTCCAATATACATCCTATATAGAAGTCAAATAAATTTGACCTTTATGAAACATTTTGTAACTTAGATACTTATGGAAGGTGGGGGATGTGACTTTAGATTTTTAGGGGAATGGTATAGAAATATAAGTAGCACTTTTCACCATAACATTATCCACAACAAGAAAATAGTGAAAGAAGGTGGTATTCTGCATGTGACATAAGTATTTAGAGTGGTTCCTGACATAGTGTTTCATAAATATTAATGATAGATTTCATTTATTCTCCTTTCACTTCCTCTTTCTTCTCTGCTGTAAAACAGAATTCAAGTATTTCTAAAGCTCTTATCATGATGCAAACATTGCAGGTCTCTGTACCGAACACGTGCTTTTATTGCAATTTTATAACTGGTATGTGTTAGACAAAATAAAATGGCAGAAAGAATACTGGTCTACTAATCAGAGTTTCTCTATTACTAACTAATGCAGTTACTGACATTGAAAAGTCCTTCTTTCTACCTCTTTCTGCTTTAATTTTAGAAAAACAGGTATCATAATACTTGCCCGATCCTCCTCATCAATATGTTAGGTACATACTCTCTGACAAGTATGGCAAGTATAAGATATCATTAATATTATGGACTATAAAATACACACCAAGTTACCATTTGTGTTTGCAGATGTAGATTTTAGTAGGAATGAACTTTTTGGTGTATAAGTGATATACAAAGCTTTCTCTAAAACATATGTTCTTCAGTATGTAGTTATGATAACTATATCATTATATTTTGTCCCCATGTAAGAAATACATTCATGCCTCTTTTTGAGGTCTTATAAGAACTAGAGGTTAAGTAAAAGGGGAAAAGATGTATTTTGAATAATTATTTCCCCAAAACAGAGTTAGTTAAAAGTGAGCAAGAGAGTTTGATACTCCATCAAGATAGTACTTGCAAAGAAAGGCAACTTGTACTGGTGTGTGTTTTAATTAAATTATAAATCAGAAATATTTTAGGGCAAATAATCCCAAGTGGTTATTATTTTCAAGAAATCTGTTTTTCTAAAGTGTCTTATTTTAAAAATGAGCACCAGAACCTTTTGAAAAAATGACTCCAAATAATTTTCTTCTTTAGAGAAAAAGTAATCAAATACTGTACTGTTTTATTATCTGCACCTAGATTGCAATAGTCAACTTTTTCCCACTTTCAATTTAGTAGCTCCATATTGATACTACTGATCTAATGACTAACTGGACCCCAAACTAACCTCACTACTATCACTTATTTGATTTGAGGATGACATGTTCTGAATATATTTCCACAACTGAAGTAGAGTTACAATTAATTCTACATTTAATTTGGATCAAACCTAAGACTGAAGTGGAACATTAATCAGCACATTATTATATCTATCTCTTATTCAGGTTAGGAAAACATTGCCTTCTAGAGGTGATCTTACTTGGTGTCAAATAATATAATGCCCATTTGAAAATTAGAAACATCATTAATTAAGCAACTTAAAGAAAAACATGGAATTTATTATTTAGCTGAAGAACTTTTTTATAAAATATTGCCATTACTTCAAGAATAAGTTAGCTACCTCAAAATAAAAGTTTGATACCCTAAATTATGCCTGTGATGAAGCCTATTATTTCTTAAGGAGGTTTTATTGTTTATAGAATTGAGCAAGTTACACTTGGAAGAAAACATGAGCCTTGGGTAGGAAAAATGATAAAAGCATTTTATTGTAAACATAAATTAAACTTCTGAAAATGTTATAGACACACTTCTTGTTAGCTTTTTAAAAATAAAAAGTAAGTAGTTAACTTTCAAATAACCATCCTGTCAGGGAAGGAAATCTCATCCTGAGGCAAAATTGTCATGACTGACAAAGATTTTGACTCACAATAAAACAATGTGGATTTTTACTTATGTTTTAGACTATGGAGGAAAAAAACTTCCCAAATGCATTGCTTATTAAGCTAGTCATGTATTTCATTGCAGGTTGTAAAACAGGAGAACATGCACAAGGGGCTCATAAGCATATTTTAGAGTTAGAGAATATCATTTATATCATTTTATATTGTCAATATCACCCCTGCAGAATAAGATTTAGCTTTAAATACTGTAAATCTACAATTTTGCTCACCTTTGTATAAATTAATTTTTAATAGAATGAGACTTATATAAATGATTATTTGATTAAGCGATATATCTAATAAAATAATACATTTATTGCATACAGATTTATTCATATTGAATAAATTGAACATAGCACAGCAAAATACTATAAAGCGAGTTTGTAGTTTTCAGTGAAGTGCATTGATTAGATTTTGGATTTTCTTTGTTGGAATGAAATTTTGACCAGGTCTTATTGTTTTTTCTGTGCAGCCTGAACACTGATGCCGGAACTCCAACTGATCATAGGCACGAATAGGGTGCTGTAGCAGTTACCTGCTTAATTAGTGTTGTAATTCTTTAGAATTCATACTCAAATTCCTAAAATATGGAACCTACAATTACTATTTGTTTATAACTGATAAATAGAACCCTGCACGTACAGAAAAAATGTGCTAGAGAATGGGCTTTATGAGTCTTTAGAGGATAATCATAATGATGACTAAACATGATATTTTACACTTTTTTTAACCCCTTTCTTCCAAAGAGTTAACAGTGCTTCACAAACATTATCACATTAACCCACATAGCATCCTAGTGGGGTAAGTAGGTGGAAGAATTTTTAAGACAAAGAAAGTGCTATTTCTAAGTGGTATAAGAGAAGTTAAAATACAGACATGTCTACTTTAAGCTGTGATTATTATGAAATAGCTTTTTATTTGTCTGTCCTGGGATTTAGCAGGAAGTATATCAGGAGATAATTCATTTGTGCAAATGATCAATATTTGTTATCACTGCTTTGGAGCTCAGATTTCTCAAAGAAACACTTTGCCTGTAATATTCTCTAATGGAATACAAGGAGCTCTAGTTTCTAGATTTTACCATGCCTACTGTTTCCCTTGAACTGTTGGCAGAGCAAGACACTTAACCCCTTTTTAGTAGAGCATTCCTTATCTGTAAAGAAGGCAATGATAAAACCATATACCCAAGCTACTAAAAATGCCCCCTTTATTCTTTTCTTCTCGCCTCCCATCCCCAATCTTGCTTCCTTTTTATTAAGCTATCAATAAGCAAACAGAACAAAAAATCTATAGACATGAGAAAGGAGAAAGGGAGATATGATGGGCCAATCACATCATGGATATTTTCACTCTTCACTATTGGCCTAGATATAAATAGATGCCTAACATGTTCAAGTGATTAGGACCAAATGGGTCATTTGGCTTGAATTGCCCAGGAAATGGCCTCACATATTTTTAACTATTTACTTAATGGGGGCCTGGCCACAGGCTAGTGGCAAGATACCTTTCATCATCATTTTCATACCTACTAAAAATATAACAGAGCAGCATTCTAGTGCGCTATATGGTACTCTAGTGATCAGAAAGATTTAATGCCCCTCCTAAAGTTCCCTACACCAAGCAAAATCTAATCCATTGTGTTATTTTTATTTTTGCCCTAGAATTAATCATTATGTGACAAAAGCATCACTTGTCTTACGCAAAAGGCCAAACTGAGTTTTTATCCATTCTCCAATAATCAGTTCCCTGTGGCAGTACATGCAATTTCTGTTGGAATGGCAACCTACCTTGCACACTTAAAATATTATATTAATTCATACCAATGTGACATTTCAGTCATTACATGCTCTGAAGGAATTTCTTCTACAGCATAGGAATTTGGATTCTGGTATTTTCCACAGATTGTATAAAGATCTGCTTATGTAGAATAGGTGTACTCTTCTAATCTAATTCAGTGAAATAATGCCAAATTAGACATAGGACATGAAGAAGGATGGAGGTAATCAGATTAAAATTTTTATTAATATCAAATATCTAAATAACAATGAGGAGTGACTAAAATTATAACATCCAAAAATGTCTCATCATTATATAGTCAAATGGCATAAATTGGAATATAGGTATAATTGAACAGAATTTTCAAATTAATTAAGTCACTTAAGTACTGTCTTTTTACAAATAGATATGTTTAAGTTACTTTGTTTGAACCATAAAGACTCCTCATATGTTTTTTTCCTGGCCTTTTCCCACATATCTGCCTTCTTTCTGACATCTAATTTTAGCTATTTCTTCTTGTAGGCTTCAGATATATATCGCAGAAGGGATGTCTCACATTTATTTGAGTTTGGAGCAGCCAGTTGTGTTCCTTTATATATAACTCAACTGATTGCAGAGGTTCCTATCCTGTATGGAAGGCCCATACTGGCCTTCAGTGCCATGGCATATGTCCATGTCAGGTAGTGCTGTGCTAAGAGAAGGACTGCATGGGCCTACACTTTTAGTTTAAAATAGGTCACATTTGTAATTCCTCCTGTCAGATGTCCCCAAATGTCAGTGTGTGTCCCTCCTTGTGAGATCCCAACCTCCCTATAATTCCTCTGGAGAGGTTTTGTTAGTTGCTCTTTCTGATCTATAATCTTCTTTACATCCAGAATGCATATGAGTTCATTTCTGCTTGGAGCTCAAGTACAAACTCTCTTAAAAACATAAAACATTCAATTACTAATTAGCTGTTTCCTCTTCCTAATGAAGTGAGCATGTCAGGTCTGGATTAAAATTCAGCTACTACTCTCTTCTGTTTATGTTTCCAGATGTTTGTGTTTTATCTATGAGTTTACTTTGACAGCTACTACTAAATCATAAATCACTCATATTATAGCTGAAATTCATTTTGAAATTGAAATGTGGCAAATTTTGAGATTGCTCCAAGGATCATGTCAATTAGCAGGTCAATACTGGTTCTTTCCTTATGATCATTCAGTGTTGGCATTTATAAAATAGTAACTGAATATGTGTCAACATTATACAGCATGGTACACAGAAGTCTATTTTGCTACTATCCTCGAAATTGGGAGAAAAAGTTTTACTATCATGAAATGTCAATTTATTGTATTCTGGTTAGAAAAATTGATTCATATTTATAATATCTTCTTGCAAGCCTAGTTTTTCTTTGGATTTTCGAGCTGCTGTGGAAACTGTTCCTGATAGGCCTTGTAAGAGGGCACACTTAATGAAGGGTGTGGGCAGATATGTTTTTCCCTTAATAAAGACAATAATTAAATATAACAAAGGTGGACAGTTTTCAGAAACTGCATTTTTCTAAAGGACAAATGGTGATTGTCTTTCACCATTTATTGCTGTGTTTATGTACCATTTTTTAGAGGACATTATTTGTTTTGTCATTGCTTTCAAGTTTGTAATGTTCACAATTTATATTGCATGATATAAGCTTTAGCTGTACTGTATAAACTTTAATCCTGGTAATGACTGTCTGCCATTTGATATTGAAGAGCTTTTCCTTTGACATTTAGGCTGTGTATACAGAGGATGAGGTTGACTGGAGGACTGAGTAACTATCTGGTCAATTTTATCAGAGTAAATATTCTCAGACTCCACAAAGGAATCTGAGCAATTCTCTGGGATGACAGATGACCAGACAGTTTCCAAAAGTTCAGGCTTTGTTTTCTTCTGGTCCCTGAAAAAGTTCAGATGAATTCCATGGGCTCTTTGAGAAAATGCCCGGTTTCCCTCTATTTATGTCCTACCCTCTAGCCAGTCTGACTGACTCAGACCCTCAACTCTTATTCTTCTATTACCTTACCACATCTTTATTTTTGGTTCTTAGGTATTATCCAGAAAATTCCATTGACTCACCATGATACCTTTTACACAGAAAGGATAAATACTTTAAAGATATTTTACATAACATTTAAAAATAATATACTTTCCTCCTAACAATGGGAAGCTTTGGCTAGACCGAGTTAATATTTTAGACCAGGCATATCAGTCCAAAAATGATAATGTACTCTCCTTATATGTGGAGATGATGCATTTGACTCACAAACATGGACTTTAAGTGTTTCTTAAGCACAGGTGATAGATTTTTACTGATTCATACACACTGTTTTCCTGTTTCTTATTTTGTAACCAAAAACCAATTGTTGTGATGCAGCTAGATAGAGATTTAGGCCGTAAGCCATTGCTATGGAAAAGAGAAATGTTAGACAAAAAGAAGTAGAATAGACTTTTTTTTTTTTTAATTCCCAACAATAACTTTTACTCATACCAATCAACTAATTTGTAACTCTGGAATTATATGGACTCTTTTAACTACCAACATTTAAATGTATACTGGTTTGGCCAAACACTATGGCTAAATAGTATTTAGAACTAGTCTCCCTTCATGCAGTATACACAGTCTCAGGGTTAACCTGGGGAGAGGAAATTCTGAATGTACAAAGCTGTCATTATCTTAGATCATAACAAGCAAATGCTCCTTTCTCCCTGTTTTGGTAAACCATAGGGATTTCAAATGTGCCATTATATACAAAAGTTAAAACTAATATAGAACATTATAGACATTATAACATAGTTCATGAAAATAATCTTTATTGGGCTTTGATGACTTCAGTGCTATGGAAAGAAGAACAGAAGCTGTAGCATGAAACTTGAAAGGCCTTTGAAAACTGATACATTAACATATAGAAATGTTAAATGCTAAATTTTACCAATACTAAATCAAGCCTGTTACAACAGATCATTTTAGGTTCCTGAAGATAGAAGTTTTAGTATTTTTAAGCACGTATCAGAATTATTCCTCAGAAGAACTAACTTGTTTTCTTTTTTTTAAAGGAGGTAACTATTACTGTTTAGCAATGGCACAACAGTTTTATTCGGCCTGAAAGGTCCTCGCTGGCTTTACATAAATGAAGATGCTTGTGATTCCAGTTTATCTCTGAAACTATTCAACACGGAGTTATTTCAATTGTGTTTATCTGCAAAGCTTTGTTTACTGAATGAGCTATTCAATCTGTTACATGTTAAAAAAAGGAACGTGTGTACATTTTAAAAGCAATGATGTAAACTTTGTCCTTGCATTAGATTGAACAGTTTGAGAATATGAGCTAAATCCTAATGGCTAAAGCAACTTGATCATATTTCATGCTTTTCTATGCTCATTTCAGCTTGGCTTTTTGTCTTTTAAGGAAAAAATGCAGTAGTGTGTTAGGGACTAGAAACTTATATGTATGGTTTCTCTGTTCTACCATATATTAAGTTAAAGTACACCTTCTTTGTTAAAAATGTACTTGCTAAACTTCAGTATAAATAAAAGCATTTGACTTTGCCAGTTGTCACTGAGTTTTTATTTTCAAATTGCCAACTGCAGTCACTAAAATATATAGGAGAGTCAGTGCAAATTAAAATAGAGGAACCAGGAAGGCATCTGCTAAGCTTCCTCCAGTTTTGTTATTTCCAAATATATATATATATATATATATATATATAGAGAGAGAGAGAGAGAGAGAGAGAGAGAGAGAGAGAGACAGAGAGACAGAGAGAGAGAGACAGAGAGAGAGAGAGAGAGACATCTTATTTCAGTTGACCTGCTTAAATAGGTTGATATTCTTGTCCTCAATTGTTCTATTGACTCACACTGGATTGCCTTTTTCTGGCTGTGTATGCTTAGTGAACCTGCTTCCAGGAGGAATGATTTACTGGAAAGTAGGAAAAATGGGTGAACCAAGAATTAGAAAATCCTTTCTGAATATCCATTATTTTCAAAAAGTTTCCTCTAAAACCACCTTCAGTGGAGAACAGCAACAACAACAACAAAAATAAAAATGAAAAACAAAACAAAAGGAAGGAATATATCTACTCTGGTCCAAAGAAATAGCAGGTCTCTTTGTATGTCCAGGTGTCTGTCAGAGCTTAATGAAAAACCAAGGCCAGTCATGGCCCTGCCCTACAGTTTACCTAATTGCTGTTTTTACCTCTCCTTAGTTAACTTCCAGTAAAATCCTGGAGCCCACCCAAATTATGGTTCATCAAGGAACTTCTCAGTTTTTCCTATGCAGAGGCAGTGCTACTTCCAATACTTACCTGTTTTGTGAAACATGTGTTAAATATTTCTACTCCTTACCTGTTTTGTGAAACATGTGTTCTATCTCACTGTACTTTTAGCTGGTCACCCAATGACTGTAGGTCATCTGGTTTGGAAGAATGATGCTACTTCCACAGATGTTTCCTCTCGCCATCACCTCCTCACCATCCTCATTTATGGAAATGTTGAGAGTCCTGACAGAACTATCAGCTCTTTCTCTGCTATAGAGGAGGAAGATCCCTAGGGTTTTTGTTGGCTAAGCAGATCTGCTCTGGTAGGATATTATATGCCCCACCATAACAAACAACGTAGGGGCCCAATAGTCAATCATATGATATGCAGGCCTGTATTATTTAAAAGTTAATAAAACAACCAGAGGAGGCTTATGCTATTAGGCTTCTCAACTTCCAGAGGTCCGAGTGCCCAATATTTTATCTGGTTTAACCTCATCTGGTAGCAGTTATCCACACTGGCTTAATATTGATGGGGTAACTTCATTGTGGGTCCTGTGGATGGTTGGGACTTCTGGGGATATAGAAGCAACTATAGGAATCTCCTAGTTATTTGGAGCACACTTCATTGGCCCATCTGAAATGAATGAACCAGGAAAATACTGGGAGTGAGATCCACCATGAACCACCATGTTTCCTGTGATACGATGGCTTGCCATTTCAACGCAACTCCTTGACCACTGTTCCATATCCCCCTCCTTCCACTACCTCTGTCCTCTAACAACATAAGAACCTTAGCTTATAAAAGGAACTGAGTACAGGACAGTAATTACTTCATCGCAGGCTGGTGGTTTCACTGAATATCCATTCTATTTCAGGTGTAAACCCTTTTCTCCTAGGGTTGGATCCCTTTGCACTGTCTTTGGAGAAAATACAGTTTACATTCATCCTGGAAGTGTGGCTGCAGGAATTGGATCAACTTCATGCAATCTATAGGGTCTCTGACATTCCTGACTTCACTTCTTCTGTAGTAGAAGTGGGGGGACACAGCTGCTATCACCACCAGACGTATTCATGGCACTATTATCTGTGATTATAATCCTGGTATAAGAGTATCTTTCCATACCTTTCAGATCACCTAACCTTTTTGATATATTCAATTGTTGCTGTT